AAGGTTTAATGAAAGGCAACTATGCATTAAAAAAGTCATTGTACTTCTCAGCTATAAATTACTTCAGTAAAACACGGGACCGGCCCCGGGAGGAGCGGCCGGATCGGAAACCACCGGACAAAAGGAGTAAAACCCAAAGGCTTTGCCAGTCGCTCAGGGGTCCATCAGCAACGAGACTCACTGCCCTGACCTGCCATCCCAAATCCAGGAAGATCGTAGTGTGGGTGTGTGCTTCAGTGCAATAGGAACAATGAGCCTGTAGCCCTTGGATTTTGTATATATTTTTTTTTAATTATTCTTATTTTTTCTCTTTTTTTTTTTTTTTTTAAATTTTTTTTTTTTGCACTACACTCCTTTCCCTCCGAAGAAAAAACTTAAAGTGCTCCTAGTGCTTTGGAATTTAAGCAAGAACAGGGGCCACGAGCGTCACTTACTGTCTTTGGTGACTTATGGGAGCAGAAGGAAGGGGGAACACGCCGGGCCCTTCATCAGCTTTGCCATAAGCCAAGCAGTGATTGAGATGGAGCGACCTGTTCCTGCCAGGAGACAGGTGAGCAGCCAGGGTGGAGCTCTGGGGGCAGGTACTCGAGCGAGAGGGTGTGCTGAGAGTTGCCATCTTTGCCTTCTCCAAAAAAAGAAGCAGGGCTTGCTGCTCTTTTTGGGCCAGGGAGAGAGAAGCAGGGGAGAGCAGGGAAGGGACAGCACAGACCACGCACAGGGACTGGGTGGGACAAGTGACATCGAGCCCAGCACAAGCAAGAGGTGAGGGGTGACTGGTGAGGAGAGGCCGGGGCTGCCCCAGGGCTGGGGGTTCCCTCACACACAGCCCAGACACGGAGGCTGCCTCAGGGTCCCCACAGCTCCCAGAACATCATCCCCCCACAGCACTCCCTGCCCAGGGGCAGCCTGGGGGTTGAGCAGCACGAGGCAGGTTAAAAGCAGTTCCAGTGTGGGTTGGCACCCGTGGCCAGAGCAGCTCCCGCTGGAGCCTCCACCCAAAGCTGCTTCGCTCATCCCTACAGCAGGCTCGGGGACAAGCCAGGAATGACACCAAGCCTCATCTCCAAGAGCCCAGGCCGGGATCCAACTTGGCTACTTTGCTTCAGGAGAGACAGGGGAACCTCTCCCACCCTGTGTACTCCAGTGGGAGGGCTCCAGGCCCTGGAGGGCACAGCAAGGAGCCCAGGGATCAGATCCCCGTGATTTCTGCCCCTTCCCTCTGCAACAGCACACTCCACAGGCAGCCAGACACCTCCTGCACCTCAGTGGGGACCCCACCAGTTCACATTCACTTCAGGTTAAAACTCTTGGTTATCTGCTAAATGCAATTTAATACTGAGGGGGACGAGGGGACCCCACCGTGGGTGACGAGGAGGGGGAGCAGGGCTGCTCTCAGCACCCCCCCGGGGGTCCAGCAGCCCTGGATTCACACACATTCCTGCACACACACTCCTGCTGAGCCAGCTTCCAAGCTCTCCCTGAAGGGAAAAGCCAGCCCCTCTCCCTCTGCCATCAGGTTGGTCACAATGCCAGTAGGAACAGACGTCCCCCTCAGCTCTGAGCCCAGGTGGGACAGGTCAGCGGCCACGTGGGACGAGGACCAGGAGTCAGAGCAAGACCCCCCTCAGCCCCAAGGCCTCACCCAGCCCTGCCAGGTGGGAATATGGCACAGAAAGCTTGAGCATCCAGCACGGGAGGCCCTGCCCGGACAGAGCTCCCGCTCCCAGCGAGTCAGGGTGCAGGGTACTTCACGGAACACGCCTCTGCAGGAAGACAGTGCCTCTCCCAGTTATGGATGTGCAATTAAAAAGAGTAACTAGAACAGTCTCAGACCGAGCACAGCCCGAGCAAGATTCGTTCCTTCCAAGTGTGCAGATAAAAAGTGCAAATACGCATTTGATGTTTCTTTTTCTAGTGAGGAAGCTCTGGTGCATTTAGCTGCCAACATCTCGAAGACCAGACCGAGGAGAGAGAAAAAAAAAAAAAAAAAGAAAAAAAAAAAAAAAAAAAAAAAAAAAAAAAAAAAAAAAAAAAAAAAAAAAAAAAAAAAAAAAAAAAGCTTCCAGAGAGTTCAGCTTCACTTTGCTACATGGTACCTTAAAGTCACAGTTCTCTTTACTCACTGCCCGCAGCCTTCGGCTCAGTCCCGCGCGCAGCTGCGGCAGGTCGTGGAATGTTTGTGTCATGAGTTAGATGCTTCAGGGGAGGAGGAGGAGGAGGAAAAGAGAAAACCAGGTTACAATCCTATACATGAATGCCACTCTGGGAAATGGAGGGAGCCTCCTCAGTTCTGTGGGGCAGGGTAGGAGCTGTGGTGGTTGCTCTCCGAGCCGCCGGCGGCGCAGAGCAAGGGCGCGCTGTCCGCGGGGGTCCCGCCGTCATTCCCGGCCAGGGAACCGTAGAAGCCCGAGCACTGAGGGGTGGCCAAGCTGCAGGGGGAGACAGAAAACACACAGGTGGACTCTTAAGAGATGAGTAATTTGGCTTCTCTGGTGCTGGGAGACTCCCAGCACTGCTCAGGGTATCCAAATCTGCAGGCACAGTATCTCCGAGGAGCCCGGCTGTGATCAAACAGCACAAGGAGAAGAGCACCAGGCCCTACAGCACGGGTCAAGAAGAGCCAGAATCCTCTGAACTCCTCACTACACCCCTGGGCAGCAAGTGGAAAGGAAGTGAAGTGTTCAAGGCTAGGCTGGATGGGGCTTGGAGCAACCTGGTCCAGTGGAAGGTGTCCCTGCTGCGGCAGGGGCTTGGAATTAGATGGTTTGTGAGGTCCCTTCCAACTCAGCATTCCATGGTTCTGTGATGACAGGGCTGCCAGGTTTCCCTGTACAGTTTTGCTGGGGATACCTGACTGTTCTCCCCCACACCAGGGGTTCCTGCAATGCTTTGTCCCAGTTGGCTCCCAGAGATCATCTCCCCTCCCAGGATTTCCCCACCTCTGGAGATCATTTCAGAGCCCTCTGCCCACAGCTGAGGGAGGATCCTAGAAAGACCAGTCCCCCTGGATGAGGTCTGTCTGTAAATCACTGTGTATTTCAACCTGTGGACACCATCCACACATCCATCTCCGTGGTCACTTCTGTCTAATAAAAACCAGCTCCTTGCGAGCTGCAGAAGGAACAAAACCTCAGTCAGAAGACTCTCTATCCCGTGCACCTTTCCCAAGCTGCGCCTTCCACTAATTTTTTTTTTCCCCTCAGAGCAGAAGCCAGGAGCTCTGTCCTTCCCCCCAGGGCAGCAGGATGGCAGTACAACACTCACCCTCCTTCTCTGGCCCCGAGCCGCGACAGGTCGTCGTCGCTGTCGTAGCGCCTCGGATTGTCAAAGAAATAGGCTCTGGAGCTGTAACTGTGGCTGTTCACCATCCCTGCTGGAGTCTGCCAACGAGAAAGGAGTCAGGCCAGAAGTCAAAATACACCTGACAGTCCTCCCAGGTGCCCTGGGGTAGCTTGCTCAGGCCTACCAGGTTCTGGCTCAGCCTCTGAGCCCGGAAGAACAGCACCACGAAGGTGGTTGGCACCAGCTCCCAGAGGAAAAGGACCACTCCAAACACCACATACTCCTCGCTGCTCACTTCCACGTGCACCTGTGGAAGGCAAGTCAGACAGGTCCCTGCATGATCCCTGCCATCCACAGAGCTCCCAAAAGCCGGAACTGGGAATGCAGAGAAGACCCTTCCGAAGGCAGAAGTCCCTAAGCCAGTCAGTGCCCCTCACCTGGATGCTGCTACTGGTTTTGCTGGGCTGGTTCTGTTCATGTGCCACCAGGGCTCCCTCCCCACACCAGTGACTCTCCCTCTCACACAGCCATGCCTGATTAAGCATTGCTTTTTCTGCTCTAGTTGACTTGTCCCTCCTCTCCCCCAAAAGAGGAGTTGCCAGGCTGAAAGGGAAGAGTAGAACAGGGAAATCCTTCCTGAAGGAGTGGCTGGATAGGGGAAGACTCAGGTTTGCTGGGTGGAGAGAGCAAGCAGGGCTTCTGGAGGCAGAAATCCAGCTCCTCTAGGGGTTCAGCTCCCCAGACGCCCTCCCAAAGCCCCTTTTCATCCTGCCAGGATGAGGAGTGACTGCCTTTCACTTCACTGGCTCTGGACTGGGGGGGTCACAGACACTCACCTTGTCTGAAAGGTTGTCCCAGCCATAGTTAAAAGGACCAGGAACATTGTCTGGAGATATGGCCACAGCTACCAGGTTATAGCAAGCCCTTGAGGAATACAGAAGAGCCACTACAGATCCCACAAGAATAGCCTGGCAGACAGATGTTCCCTAGAATAGGGAGAAATAAAAGAGCTTTAATACAGAGCTGTGATTTTCTTTTCCCCTTCCCTTAAATTCACCAGAAGCTGTGCAGGCAAGAACGACCCAGAACATTTGTTTGTTGTTGCTGAAATATTCAGAGCTGGTTAAAAGCTTTTTCATGTGATGAGTTCATTCCAGGAACAGATCCACACAGCCAGTGTCACCTGGGAGCAGGGAAGATCTGAGGCACAGGAGTGTCACTGTCAGGATCTTATCAGTCAGCTTCAAGCTGGTGGTCCAGGGAGATGCTATTCCACTTGCTTCCTTCCCATGGGAGTCTCCACAAGGCCAGCAAACAACCACCAGGAAAATCAACTGGCTGCTTCTGTGCCCTGATCAGGCTCTGTAAGCAGAGATGCTCACCCAGCCCCATTCACTGCAGCAGCTCAGCACCCCAACATCACACACGGTGTTTGTTTGGGAAAGAAACCCAAATGTTTGGGGTGGGCAAAAGGACCCAGTGCCTGAACCCCAAAAACTCAAAGGGAGCCCACAGGAAACACAGAGAGAGACTATTTACAAGGGCCTGGAGTGACAGGATGAGGGGGAATGGATTCAAACTGACAAAAAAAATAGGATTAGATTAGATATTAGGAAGGAATTCTTCCCTGTGAGGGCAGCGAGGCCCTGGCAGAGATTTCCCAGAGAAGCTGTGGCTGCCCCATCCTTGGGGGTTGGACAGCGCTTGGAGCAACCTGGGCTAGTAGAAGGTGTCCCTGCCTGTGGCAGAGGGGTAGAACTGGATGATCTTTAAGGTCCCTTCCAACCCAAACCATTCTGGGATTCTGTGACAAGCCAGGCTTTGCTAAATACACCCATGGAGCCCTTTAATAGCTACTGGGAGGCACCAAGTCAGTGGGTGGCCAGATGAACACGTGCCAGCAGCTCCCTTGCCTTTGTGTTTAGGCAGAGAATCTGCAGGGGAGGCTCATCTCCCTGACCTGCTCCACATCCCAGCTGGGCTGTGCCAGCCCTGTTTTCCTGGCTCTGGAGATCAAGGCAGTGTCTTGAAGTGCTGCTAACGAGGTGACAGCCCCAAAGCCCAGGATCACATCCTGCTGCCACCCTCAGCTGAGCCCTTGGTGTCCAGGCCGGCACAACGAAAGGCTGGTGAGGCAAATCTGCAGCTCACAAAGGACCACAGGACAGGATCTGGCTGCAGTCCCAGCCTCCTTCCCGTGGCTCCAGCCTTTCACCTTCGGTGGTGGAGGCAGCAGCCTCCAAGCCTTGCTGGATGGCTTTGAGGCAGCAGGTTCCCAGCTGGAGTTCAGGAGGCAGGACAACCTTTCCAGGTATTTGTCCCCAACCTTTTTCCTGCAGCCCCTTCACACAGGAAATCAAGGGATGCCCCCAGGGCAGGGAAGGGAAGCAGGGACCTGCAGCAGCCAGGCTGAGTATCCAACTGGAGAACAGGCTTCCCTGGAGCACGTTGTTCAAGAGCACGGCCCCACAGGCAGCCTCAGGCATGGAAGGAGAGGAAGTTCCTGTGCCAGGTGAACTTGGCAAGTTAATCAGTGTCCAGATCCAGTCAGAGCTGGATACCAGGCCCAAGCAGGCAGGGATGTGAGCAGGTTCTCAGCTGAGACGGCTCCTGTCTCACTGCAGCTGCAACTTATGGTTCACACATCTTGGATTCTGGGAAACCACCAATGCTCTCAGCTGCCTAAGGAGCCAGGCATCTCTTACAGAAAGCTTCAGCTTCAACCTTAACCTGGCTAGGCTCAGATTTTTCCTGCAGATGTTTCCAGGCTCATCAGGAGCCTGCTGTCTGCCCTTCCCAGCAGGTCAGGCCCCCACAGCCTGGAATCCCTGCCTTTGACAGGGGTGATATGGCTTCCCAGAGGAACAGGAGGCAGCTCAAGTGCACATTTAATTACAGCCTCCTGCCACACTGCTGGCAGCTCATCCGCTCTCCTACCTGCTGGAAAAGAGCTGTGTGTGTTCAGACCTGAACTTCTGCCTTGGGGCAGGACCTACAGCAACTTCTCCTCCCCTTCCAAGGTGCTCATCTCATCCAGGACATCTGGACTGCTGGGGGAGGGCGGAACCCCTTTGCAAAGAATCGTTGTGCACCTGCCACAGGTAACACACACAATGCTGCAAGTTTTACTGTCAACAGTGATAATGCACTGCCAAAACTGCATCTGCTGCTCTTGGGAGAACCCTCTCATCCAGGCAAAACCTATGTTTTCTAAGCCTGAAGAGCACAGGCAGCTCATAAATCCCTCAAAGCTGCAGACAAGGCATTCCCTTAAAATCAGGGGAGGATCATTCCCACAGCAGGGACACGCACTCTCTGGAGGGAGGAGTCCAAGAGCTGCCACCTCCTCTCTGGAAGGAACATTTGAGCAAGAGCAGCTCAGGTGTCACCGCGCCCTGAGCGAGCACACCCGGGGCTAGCTGAGAATCCAGCTGTGCAGCCCCAGGGGAATTGATGATTCCCCTACCTTGGACTCGAGGTAGACGTTGGCTGAAGACATCTTTCCCAGCTTGCACATGCAGCCAGCCAGCGAGATGGCACAGAGGATGAAGAGGCTGTCGTTGACCAGGGCGCGGGCCAGGACCGTCCACCTCAGCTGGCTCTCGGGGACCTCCCCGTGGATCAGCATCGCACAGGTCAGATTCACCACCAGGAAGAGGAGGCTGGTGAAGATGGAGCCCAGGTACAGCAGGACCCTGGAGGGACGGGGAAAGGGGGAGAAACGGAGTTGGGAGTGAGACAAGGCTTATTCTTGCACCACCCTCCTGTCTCACCAGGCCCTCCCAGCACGCCCAGTGCTCTGCCTGCTGGGAAGATCAGGCATTCCAGCAACTTTCAGTGGCTGCACTTACAGCCCAAGCCTGCAGAGCGCTTGTTGGAGCTGCTCACATGAGCAGAGTAAGCAGTCATGAGTTACAAAGACTCATCTTCTGACAGTCAGGTTCTTATCTTGCAGATTTTAAGTGTTGCTCCAGCTCTGCATTAACTCCAGTCAATAAGCCGTGGGTCATCACAACCACTGTAACTTCTTTGAAAGCCACTGGAGATCGCGTTTCCCAGCGTGGTTTTCCCTGGAAATGGTTGGGAAGCACCTGGGCTGCACAAACAGGGGTCTCACCCACTGCCCAAGCCTTATCCTGCAGATCTTTTCTGGGGTGGGACAGCTCGGAATGACCTTGAGAGTTCATCCAGTTTGTTACTGGGGTGCTTGATCTTCCTGGGCACCCTTGAACCTCCCAGTCCCCCTCCAACGCTGATCCTTTTCCAGAGCACAGGTGTGGAATCAGCTCCGCTCACCCTCTGGGGGTCTGAACCTCCCACTCCCAGCCCTGCAGCGAGTTCCCCTTAAGCCACGAAGGTCAGAACAGCATCACTTACTTGTACTTGTTGAATTCAGCTGCACATTTCACTTTGAATATGACCTGGAGGAAAGATTTGCACAGTGTTACTTCACATGACCTGCGGTTTCTTTTAAGCTTAGTCAAGAGATTAACAGGGGAGCCAGAAACCACTTGGACACCTCCAAGGACTCCAGATTATTTATCAGCACCAAGTCTTGCACTGGACCCAAAAAAATGGTCCTTTTTTCCCCCCTTGTAAAAACCCAGCCCAAATATAGGTGCCCACATTACCCCGTATGTAACAAGGATTTTAACACTCCACTTGAAGGATTTCAAGAAAAGCAAGGAGTTCAGCACTTCATAATCATTAAAATCCTTCAAAAATACATTTCCTTTGTCCAGTGTTCTGGGCTGCTTATTTTAGGACCTCAACCACGCTGGATTTCTATGTTAGAGAAGGCTGCTCGAGCTGCTGTGCTTCAGCAAGACAAATAGCTGATCTAAAATAGCCCTCTGGTCTGTTTGATCATAGACCTGCCAGCTGGAAAAAGCACTTGGAACTCACAGCCCCCCTCCATCCTTATGATGTTTGTAGGACAAATTCACCTGAAAAGTAACTCCAGAGGTGGAAGGTTGGAGCACACAGGGGCAGGACCTGACCCTAAGGAATCAGGGAGGGTTTAGGAAGGTGCTGACACTCCCAAGTCAGAGCTCAGATGTGAGTTCCTGCTGCAAGGGGACAGGGAAACAGTGCTCACACTGATCAGGAAAACAGCAGGAAAACAAGGGGGGGGTCGTGTCCTGCGAAAAATGCAGCTCCAGGTACAGATCCCAGCAGGAAGGATCCCAGTCACGGGCAAAGCTCATGTCCTGACTGGAGACTTTGAAGGAACTTGCGAAGAGAACCATCCAGGCAGATCCAGCACACCTGCACTTGTGGGGATCACTGCACAGGGGTGGAGGTTCAGATTCCCTTCTCCTCCCTTTCCCTGTCAGCTCCCAGGCTGTGGCTGCAGAGAGGGATCACTCATCTCCTACAAAGCACCCTTAGTCAGCTTTTTTTTTTTTTTTTTTTTTCCCCCTGCTGGGATTCCTTGGCTCCTGCCTTCCAGCCAGCACCGAGGCAGAAATGGCACACAAGCTTCAGGAATCCAGGGCCTTGCCAAGAGGATTTCCAGAGACATTTCAGGATCTGATCAGGTTGTCTGATCCCCTGTAGTAGTTTCAAGCATCTCAAAGGGTATCAGACAGCGCCAGTGCCTGTCTCCTCTCCCTGCCAGTTTGAGGGGGGATGAGCTCAAGCAGCACTTAGTGGGGAACAAGACAGAGCTCTCAGCAGAGGGAGGGATCCATCCCCATGGATGTTCTAGGCTATCCTGTTCTCCTGGCCTACACCATCCCAGAGAAGAGCAGAAGTGTGGCACAGTCCACTCTGAGCCCTAAAACTCATCTGTTTTACACTGAACCTGTGCCTTGGAAGGACCGTGTGGTGACTTTCAAACAGAAATATCCTTGAATCCTTCTTAGTTTGCCCGCAGGTTATGTTCAGGCACTTTGGGAGTGGCACAGAATCAGGAAGGTTGGAAAAGCCCTCGAAAATCATCAAGTGCAACCATTAATCCACCACTAAACCATGTCACCAAATGCCATATCCACGTTTGTTTTCTTAACTTTCCCAGGGATGGTGACTCCACCACTGCCCTGGAGAGCCTGTTCCAACGCCTGACCACCCTTTTCAGTGAGGAATTTTTTCCCCAATATCCAACCTAAACCTCCCCTGGTGCAATTGAGGCCGTTTCCTCTTGTCCTGTCAAAACAGACAGGAAGGACTTTTCCAGCTGGGAAATCCTCCCATTTGGGCAGCACAGAAATCCATCTGAGGTATCTGTAACCACAGCCCCTGAACGGCACTGCAGAGTCCCTGGCTTGTATTCCAGCTGGGAATTTTGCACTCTCAGCTGAGAGCAGCCCCTCAGCCGAGCAGGGAAGCGCCCCTGGCTCGCAGGAAGATGCTGGATGTGCAGGACTCTCCCAAAACTCTCCCCCCTAAGGCTCCAGGGATTAAGGCACACAAAGCTGAGTCAGGGTTAAGAGTGCAACAGCAACTTGAGCCTCAGGCTTGGCCTGCTGCCATGAAAAGCAAGAGGGAGACCACAGCTCCAGCCTTAGGCTTTTATTAGCCCCCAGCTAATTATTCCTACAACTTCAGGAAGAGGACAGGCATCACTGGGTCTGGTGTTTTCAGTTATTAAGACTGATAACCTATCTGAAGGTTGCTTTTCCTTCCTAGGGACTGGGTCAGTAGGTGACACCAGCGTTCCTCTGGGTTCTCAGCCTTGAGACAAGCTTTGAGTCTCCCTGCACAGGGCTCTGCTGCTTTCAGAGCCCAAGGACAGCTGATGTAGAGGGTCCTGCTGTGAGGAATCCAGCATGGAGAGCTGAGGAGCAGTCCTGTTCTCCAGAAAGAGAGGAAACACAGCCCCCTGCCCCCAAACAGGTGCTTTAGGAGCAGCAATCCTTGCAAACTGAACAGTTTCCTTGGGATCTGAGCTGAGAGCGGCCCAAGGAGGCAGGTGTGAAAATAAGGAGCAGTTTTGGCAACACTCGGTTACCTTTCCAGAGCCACAGATCCTTTGAGCACTTCACATCAGCCAGATTTGGGAAGAAGGGGAGGGGAATTACACACCTCCAAGTGCCCCCATGATGCTGGAGGCTTTTGGCTTTGTGGAGGGGGGGATAAATCACATAAAAGTGATTCCCTTGCTCCCAGCACAGCCCAGAAAGTGAACTTGCTGAGGATATGTTTAAGACACACACTCATCCTTAGAAGGTGCACTAGAGGGTGTCACAGCTGCTAAGAGAAGGTGACAGATGCCAGATCCCACAGGTGGCTCCAAGGACCACTTCCAGTATCCCAAAAAGCCAGGATCTTAACCCCAAACACGGAGACGACTTCAGCTTGGTTTTGGTACAGCCATTCACAACAGATCCAAAAGATCCAGGAGAGCCAGGAACTTACTGTCTGATGGAATCAAAACCTCTCTTGCTCCATAAAGAAACCACGAATTTGGGCTCCACAGATACAAGACATAACCGTGCCCTGCCCTAGCACAGCCCTCACTCAGCTGCAGGAGCATCCACAGACAGATCCATTCCCTCAGCAGAGTGAGATAATTGGAGCACAGCCCGGGCTATTTTGGGATTACACCCCGTAACAAATGTTCAAACCCCCACCCACCCCTCAGAGGAAAAGTTGGAACTATCCACGAGGAGGATCTCTCACCATCCCCACTAATACTGAGATCATTCTCTGCCATCACGAGCACAGGGTACAACTCGCTCGTTCCCTGATTTCCTAGAATAGCTGGTTGCCAGTGTGGACACCTGTTCATCTGGGAAACATGGGAATCAGCAGCTATGGGATGAGGCATTCTGGAGTTTAAGTGACCCCTTACCAGCTGTCCCTCCGAGGCAGAGGGCACTGCCAGGTGTCTGCTACACAAGGAAGGTGCAAGAAAGGACGGAGGCTTTTCCAGTTTTCCATCTGAGAAGGGAGGTACAGGACAGAAAGGACAAACATATCCAGAGCAGTCAGAGCAGGAAGGGATGGAAGAGGCTGATGTCATCTTAATCAGATGGAGCACTCAAGAGAAACCCAGACTGTTAGAGGGCTCTGGCCACGCCAGCCACCAGTCCCACCACTCCAGCATTCCTTACTCATCCCTGCACCAGCTGCTGATTCCCAGGAGAGCAGAGTGCTCAAGAAGGTCTTTGAAAGGGTCAAGGTGGGGGTTGTAGCTACATTTCACAGAATCACTGAGATGACAAAGACCTCTGAGATCATCGAGTCCCCCCTGTGTCCCAGTGCAGAGCACCGAGTGCCATGGCCGGTCCTTCCTTGGGCACCTCCAGGGACGGGAACTCCAAACCTCCCTGGGCAGCCCCTTCCAATGTTTAACAACCCTTTCCAATAACAAAATTCCTCTTGATGCCCAACCTGAACCTCCCCTGTCACATCTTGAGGCTGTTTCCTCTCCTGTCTCTTGTTCCCTGGGAGCAGAGCCCACCCTGCCCTGGCTCCCCCCTCCTGTCAGGGATTGCAGAGCCAGAAGGTCCCACCTGAGCCTCCTTTTCTCCAGGCTGAGCCTTCCCAGCTCCCTCCATGTATTTCCATTTCCATGTCCCAGGGAAAAGCAGGAACTGGCAGGCTCTTGGGAAGGGTGGCATCACTCAAGTTTGGACATGAGCAAGGAGTGACAGGACAACAGGGAACAGCTTCACACAGAGAGGGCAGGGGTAGATGGGATATTGGGAAGGAATTGTTGGCTGTGAGGGTGGTGAGGCCAAGGCACAAGTTGCCCAGAGAAGCTGTGGCTGCCCCTGGATCCCTGGAAGTGTCCAAGGCCAGGTTGGAGCAATCTGGGCTAGTGGAAGGTGTCCCTGCCCGTGGCACAGCTTTGGAACAAGATGAGCTTTAAGGTCCCTTCCAACCCAAACCATTCTGGGATTCTATGGAAAAGAAATACACCTCCCACGTTCGTTCTGTCAGGACTCTGCATCCCCTCAGGAATCTCAGGAGCCAGGAGGGCATAGGAAGAGGATAACTTCTCCCAACTGAAAGGAGAACACCAGCCAGTTTAAGAATTTAAGAATTTAAGCCCCAAAACAGCCTGGAGCGCCAAGTAATGCCAGTTCTCCATGGGCATCTGTTCCCTGGAGCCTCTTCCCCATCACCATTTCATGCTCAGCTTCTCCACAGCTCCGTAAATCAAGCAGGATCAGCTCAAATGACAGCACAGGCCACGTTTTCTTCCACTGATGCCATTTCTCCAGCATCTCCACAAAGGAGGCACTGTGTACAGAGACAATGAGCCAGGCCCTCAGCACAGCAGCAGCCTGTGCTTTTATCCCAGGACATCTCGGATCAGGATCCCACCCCCAGAGCAGAAGCAGCCCGGGGTCCTTCTGCAGGTCCTTCTGATTGCTACCCATCAGCCCTCAAAAACTGGGAATGGATGGGCACGTTCTGCTGGAAGTCACATCACTAAACACACCAGTCGAGTGTAGATCTTGAGATGGGAGCCAGAAAAGCACCAGAGGCTTTAGGTCCACCCCAGCTCCACTCTTCCTCCAAACCTCTGGAGCTTCACTACCACCACTGTGTGATCAACCCAAAAGCACCACAGAGTGCAGGGAAGTGTCAGATCCTCCCTGGAGCCCAGCGGGCAGACCCACTTTCACAAGTCACTTTATCCTTCCCCACTCCAGATTCTGAGCTCTTATTTCCTCAGGCAGGATTTCCCTTGGCTCTAGGTTTTCAAGGAGAAAGAAATGGGATGTATGCAGTGTTCACTGAAAAAAAAAACAAGTATCATGGGAGGAAGGGAAGCCTGGGAATCTATTTGGATTTACTTTCAGGGAACCTTTAAACAAGCCTGGAGAGAGGCAAATCTGCTGCTGAGTCCAGCGACCGAGAGGGAAAAGAGAAATGCAGCCACTTTGTGGAGCAGATCACAGGATCCCTGCTTTTCAAGGGACACAAACCCCTCCTGGCTGGAGCAATTGGTAGGTCAGGCTGCCTTTAAACAGACAAGATGGATTGTGCACACTCTGCACCATTTGTTATCCCGCTGCCACTCAACCAACACCACATCCAGCACCGACAGCTTTGGCAACAGGCAGCTCACCCCCGGCTGCCAGGTGTTTATTCCAGGAGCAAGGAAAAGGAGGGGGGGGGGGTGGAAAAAGAACCGAGAAAAGCTGAACAACCCAACTGCTCCAAGTCTCCCCATCGTCATGTGAGCGCTGATGTCCTCGGGAAAATGAAATCATAACTCCCCTGGGTGACACATCGGAGCGACGGAGCGATTTCGCTGTGTGCTAGCGATTCCTTTGTGAGGGCTGGGGAACAGCTGAGAGCTGCAGAGCAAAGAATCCCCACAAACAACAAACAACAAAGCTGGAAGGAAAAAAAAAAAGTGCTGCCTATTTACGAAACGAGCCACCAAGCCGGGGAGGGCAGGCGAGCAAAAAAAGGGCTGCTCGGGAGAAACTGGAGCAGAAACAAAATATTCAGGGGAGGGGAGGGGAAGGGAGGGGAGAGAGGAGGCTTTGAGAGATAAAGACAAGTGGACATGGGGAAAGGAGGGTAAAAAATCACGACACAAGTGATGGGAAGCCCAGAAAAGGAGGGATACGCTCGGTGACAACAACAAGCGGCTCCGCGCTGTCCCAGCAGCGATGGTTTTGCCGGCAAGGGGCCCCCCTGTCCTGCCCCAGGCTGTTGTCTGAGGGACCTCAGGCTTTTGGGTCGGTTTATTTTTCTTTTTTTTTTGTCTGACAACAAGCTGCAGAACAACAAGCCCAGCTCGCAGCGGAGCGATGGAGAGAAGGAGGGAGCGCAGCAACAATAGCAGAAGAGGCTCTGGCTGGTGACGTAATGGTTGGCATCACTCCAGGCCAGAGCAGCCCCTGCTGCTGCCACTTTCTGGTCCCCTTTGGAGAACGGGAATCAATTAAAAAAAAGATGCAAAGCAGTCCCCCTTCCCAAGTGATTCCCCCCCCACCCCCCGCCACGCAATGCCTCTGGGTTGCAAAGAGGAAAATCCCACCTGGGAGCAGGGCATACCCCTGCACCCCCAAATCCCAAATTCAGGGCATGAGGCTCTTTCCACCACCACCCCCCTCCTCCTCGGGGTCTGCAGTCAGGGCACAGCCCTGCACCCAAAACCCCTGATGCTGGGATTCAGGGCACGCTTTTTGCTCACACCATCCCCCCTAAATCCCTCCCCCCCCCTCCATCCAAGGCTGGATTCAGTGCACAATCCCTGTGCCTCCCCTCAAGCCTGGATTCAGGGCACAATTCCTGCATCCTAC